TGTCTCTTTCTGTCCCTGAGCTCTCAGGTAGCTGGGATGTTGCTATTCTGAGTAACCTGGTAGATCCCTAGAGACAATTCTAGCTCAACCACTCTGAAGAAACAGCTCTGTAAACAGTATTGACCCCCCAGGGGACCATCAAATCCGTTTACACAGATACCAGTTGTCACAAACTATTTACAAAGCCAGGCAGAACAGAATTTCCCAGCCTCTAAGAATCCGTATTTGATTCTAACCATCTCTTTACTTCTGTATAGTAGTCATGAAATAAAGGTTATTTTTGATTATTAGTAATTATCTCTTGGGTAGCATCAATTTAACTGAGTATATTATACATTAATGTGTAATTGTATGGAGAATACTACTTAAAAGGGGATCTTATAGCTTTCTTTTCTAAGATAGGAAATAGTATCATTATACTGTTAATTTTCTACACTAAGGAATTGAGGATTTAATACTAGCATTGAGTTGGCAGAACTGACATCCCCAGAAGTAAAGGAAGACTTCATTAGATCACAAAAATGATCCATTGAAAACAGCATGAAAGTCACTAGAGAGAGTGATGGGATCTTCAAAGCACATAATGCAGCTACCATGCACACATATTAAATACCAAGTTAAAAAATAAATTCACCAAATCCACCTGATTTTTCCAGATGAATAACTCTAGCAATAGCTATAGGTGTCATTTTAGACAAATACCTGGTAATAGTAGTATCCATAATATCATTTTTAGATAGTTAGAGAATGATTTTAGTATAATATCTAATGATAGCATTAGATACTAAAAGCAAATTTGGGGAAGTATATTTTGACACAATTGAATTATCATATCCAATAAAACAATGTGCCTACGGAACAGCAAATAAAGGAATTGATGTAGTCATAAAGATTTTCCATTTTAAATCTCAAAATCAGACTTAATAGACTTATGAATTATGAAGAAGAGATTAATTTAGTCTCTGAATTCATATGGAGAGATGAATTTAAATAATATTCAGTTGGTCAAAATGATAGAACAGTTAACAATGACCTTGACTAAACACAGATGTGAATTACTAAAGAGTGTTTCCAAACCATGTGAAATAGAAGAAACAATAGAATGGTTTTAGTTTTTTAAGTTTTCATCTACCTAGAGATAAGTTTAAATCAGAAGTGAATATCTTTTTGTTTAACATTTATCTTTTTAATTGATTAGTGTGCAAAACAGTCCTTAACTTCACTTTTGTGGCCTTTTATTGGCTTACACATTTATATTTCTTTATGTAGTTCTTTAAAAATTGAAGGGACAGTACAAATAAGCTCAGCTAAAGTTTTTAGTAGCTTCATCCCAGTATCATTTCTTAAAGCTCTTTCTCCTGGGTTGAAGATTTTAGGAAAATAATTAAAGACTGAATTTAGAATTACTCTTCTCTTGGTTGGAGTAAGTACTAATTTAGAAGTTGTATATAAATTGGGTTTTTGAATAAGGAAAAGAAAATTTGTCAAAATGTAAGATGATAGAGCAGTACCTTGAAATTTTTCTTGAAAGGTCGAAAGTATCACACTTGCTACTTGCTCTCAAATATTTCAAAAAATGTGGGAGTAGTTAGATAAGGAAACAAAAATATTAAAGTGAATATGATAAAATGTTAATATATGCGAAACTAGGAAAAGAGTATGTAGGAATTCTTTGTACTGTTTTTGCAATGTTTTTAATAAGACTAAGTATTTTCAATTAACAGGTAAAAAGAATATTCTCTGTCATCAGTTTTTGTTGGCTTTTTCATCTGTCTTCTTTAACATCTTTTTTCTGTGGTCATTGAAAACTCATATGTCTGGCTTCCAGTTCTACTTTTCATTTCCTGCCATTTTGCTAGATGACTTTAGTCCCTTCAGAATAACACTTTAAGCACACTGATCCCTTAGTGTCCTCATCAGTTTGTTTGATCAACACATTTCCAGATGAAGTGAATCTTGGACTTTGTCCTTACCTGTTTATTATTTTAGGAATCTTCACTCCTTGTCAAATCTTCTCCTTTCGATAAAAGAAATATCTCTTTGTTTTTCCCAAATCTTTTCCTTCTCCTCTTTATCCATTCTGATTCTTCTTTTCTCCTCCTTTTATTATAGTCTGCCAATATTTTTTTGAGTATGCTAAACTTTAACTCTTTGGCAGTTCTGTACTTTGCATATTCCCATGTGTCTTTTTTTGAAGCAGATTCCTTCATGAGGTCCTGTAGAGTCTTCCAGTTGAACATTAGTATGTCTAAAATATGCTGTACAGCTTTTGCCTAGATCTTGTTACATTTTGTTCAAATCATTGAATAAGTTTGCTGTCATCATTGATATATAAAGTCCTTGAGGGAAGTGTCTGTTTCTCATATTTGTTTTCACAGTACCTATCACAGGACATATGATGCTTTGGGGTGTTCCTGAATAAGTAAATTAATTTGAAAGGTCAAATGTAATACTTAAATAGGATACTGCAGTATGGCACAGAGGAAGAGCATTGAAAACTTTCAGAGGATTGAACAATAGTTTGCTTATATCAATCAGTCTCTTTTACTCTAAAGTAAAATTAAATTCTTAGTAGAAAAATATGGATATTCCAATTTGCAGAGCAGGCTTCAAATGTCTGATGGGTAGTTCAAATTAAAAAAGCTTTTACTACTGGACAAATTTAGAAATATCCAGAAATAGATTCAAATCACACCACATAGGTTCTTTAAAAAAAAAAAATTAAATATTAACTTTTAAACATCTTAAAATTAAAATCCAGAAGTGCCAGAAATTGATGCATTTTTAAAAAATAATACTTCAAGGGCCTATAATGACTAAGATCCTTAAGGGATTAGCAGAGACCTCTTATTGGAAAGCTTTCATGTCTACTGTAAGACTTTGAAGAAAATAGCCCAGTTACAGGTAAAATAATGGTAAAGAAAGAGAGCTGTAAAACTATTAAGCAAATAGCAAGTATAGATATCAGGAATGGGCTAAGGGAAACGCTAGGTTAGGAATAAAAGGATCAAAGAAGAAAGATACTGAACTAAACCTATGAGTAGAGAAGGTGGGGAAATGGAACAAGTTTAGATAATGTTAAATTTGGTCTCAACCAGGTCAAAGAGGACTGAAGAGTGTAAAACAGTTGGTGTGGTGTTATCACAGGGAAAAGGGATTTTTATGTAGTTGGCAGTACTCCATGGTTCAATAATGTTTCCTTTTTGAAGAATGTTTGTTCCTCATAAACTGAAATATGGTATTTGGCCCTAAAATTTTTTTATGATATGTCTCTGAGTATGATTTTTGTTATTTTGATATTACTTTCAGTAATACAATTCTTTTTCATTGAATTAATTATACAGATATATGCTAGTGTTAGAAAACATGATTTGTTAATGATATAAAGGATTTTCTTAGTTCCATTTATCAAATTTCTTCCTTCAGATTTTGAGGATTCCATTCTACTAATTAATACTAGCCTATCCTAGAAAAACAGGATGGTGAATGAACTAAAGCAAATTAAATATAGAGTTCTGAGATGTCAAAAGCTGTCAAGTGATCTTCAGTTACAAGATTTCAGTTTCTAACATTATTAAACAGAATATAACATTAAAATGTCCTAGCTAGCCCCCAATATATAATTATGATAGCACTTTTTCTCTTCTAATACACATTCTCCTCAATGTGGAGTCAAAAGTAATTTTCTAAAAAACAAATTATTTATAGATAGAAGTAGATTTACTACTAGCTACTCATAAGAACAAAATACAGACTTGGATTAACTGGCTATATTTATCATGAGTAATTTATTTAGAAAAAATACTTGAAGTACCTTTTTTGTGAGTGTTTCTGTTTTCTTTTTATTCTAAAACTACTCTTTTTCCTCAAAAGGATTTAAAGTTTGATGCTTTGGAGAAGTCATCACCAGAAAGCAGGTGAGATTCATATGCTTCTTAAAGACTTGTTTCTGCTGAAGTTAAAAAGTACTCATTACAATCAATATTAGACTTGCTCTTTTGATTTACTAGTGAAAAAAACTTTTTTGTGTATGTGTAAGATTTTCCCCCAAAATTTTATTATACCACTAAATATAGACTGTTCCTATGAAATAGTTAATATTTACTAAGTACAACTTAAAATATTTTTTGTGAGATAGCCAAGCATTACAAAATATGTTCCCTTGTATATATAGTGCATTTCTGATAAAAATGTTATAGTGATGATTATAAAAATAATAGCCAACATTTATTGTAGTGTCTAGTACTAGGGCAATTACTTAGTTAACTTAGTCCTCACAACAACTCATATAAGTGTTATTATGTTTGTATTTTATGAATGGGTTAAATAACTCATCCAATATTTTGCCCTTAGCAAAGCTGGAATTACTTCACTGTAATCATTATTTTATTGTATTCTATTTTGAGGGATTTTGAAAATAATATCTGTGATTCATTAATTCTTAATGTTGAGTATATCCAGGAATTATTTGGGGAGATTTTAAAGTAGGAACTAGCAGGGCATGGTGGCACACACCTGTAATTCTAATGGCTTCTGAGGCTAAAGCAAGAGGATCACAGGTTCAAAGCAAGCCTCAGCAACTTAGTGAAGGTCTAAGCAACTTAACAAGACTCTGTCTCAAAATAAAAAAATAAAAAAGTGCTGGAGATGTGGCTCAGTGTCTTAGCACCCTTGAGGTCAATATGCCATACTACCAAAAAAAAAAGTAGGGACGGGGTCATATTGTCTAAGGACTAGGTCCTTACTCTGAACTTTGGATTCTTAAAAACTCCTTGTCATTCCAACATTTAAATATGATGTAAACCACTGTCCTAAATGTCTTTTGATTGTGAAAATGGGAATATGAGTGGCAAGCACCACACTGTACATGTTTATCTTATTATAATAAGACTAGTAAGTATACATTTCGAGCCATGAAAAAATATTCATTTGATTGAATACTTTTTAACATATAATTATAGCATTTAATATAATTTGTTATTTTATTTGTTTACATACAGATACAGCCCACATTTATCTTGAACAAGATACTGTTGGGATAAATAAAAGTACACAGATAGATGAGCAACTCACTATGAATTCTGAGGGAAGCATGCATCAGAAATCCAGTGAGTTAGCCAATGAAGTCACATATGAGGACCCTGAAATACCAGGACGGAAATCTAGAAATTTTCAGATCTTCAGCCCTTATCCAGATGATGAGACATCTGAAAAATGCAAGTGAGTTCTGTCAACCTTAGTTCTAGAAAGTAAAAATTGAGAGAACTTTTCCTTCCTTTCTTCCTATATATATATTGTTTTTATGATATTGATGAAATGAGTCTAGATAGCTAAGTGTAAATGCTTAGGTGAGTTTGAAGGAAGGCAATGAGGTTTTATTCCTTGTTCAATTTTATTTTCTGTGGCCTTTCATTATGGATATGAAAATGACTTTTAAATTGCTATAAATGGGGTATCATTCATCAAAGCCAAACAGGCAGTTCTAACACAAATTAAGTCCAAAGATCTTTTGGTTTTGGTTAGCACTTTTTTTCATTTAAATGAATTTGAATGCTTTTAAAAAGGTCTTCCACTCTACATTTTATCTTCCTTCTTATTTTATGCTTTTATTTTATAGCTTTTACCCATCCACTTTGTCTATCTCATGAAGGAATTTGAATTTGTGATTCCTATGACATGATAATAGTCATGTGCTATAAAAATATTCTGAGATTAAAATATTCAATGATAATATAATTGTACTTTCAGTCTAGACAAAATCATATTTTCTAGAATACTATTTTAACAGAGTTTTGCATTGAAATTGCTATTTCCATTTACTTGCAAGTTATTCAGTAAATATGTTTTTGAGTGAATTTAACACATAATGAAGTGGATACTATATTGATTTGTTCCTGTATTGATTTGGTATGTTTTAGTGGGTTGAGGCAGTAATGAATGAAGAAGGAATAAACATTTCTATAAACACATGAGGAAAATGAATAGTAGAGCTTGGGCTAAAGACATATTATGGGATCTCTGGTATAATTGCAACAGGAGATTATGGAAAGTACTGCTACACTGACTGTCCTAAACCTCACTGCTAAATTTCCTCTTAATGACTCCATATTTACCTATGCTTACAAATTGAATATAATGCCTTCCAAAAACAGTCCATATCTTCTCCCTTCCCTTCCTTTATACTACTTGATTACAAGTTGATACTCTTCTCAAATAGCCTTCAAAATGTCAAAACATTTCATTTCACTTACTCTTAAATGTTACACGAATAGGTTTTTATTTGAAAGTTTTGAATAGTGAAATATGATACTCTTTCCCCCAAAATAAAAAAACTTACTTGACTTTTGTTTCCATTTTCAGAAAAGCAAGAAATTTAAGTAGAATCTCAACCTAAAATACAAATTGTAATAATATTTAGAGCCTCTAAAACCTAAACTGAAATAATATTTATAGCCTCTGAAGCCTAAATTATTTTATCAGATACACTCAACCATAAGTCTCAGATGATGCTAAATGCTTTTCATAAATTTAACTTTCATAGTTGATAAATTGGCAACTCTGTGACATTATGTTCTTTTTATCTATAATATTCTCTTACGTTCATAAAAAGACATTGTAAAATGGGTACCTTCGCCTAAATATTATTAAAATTAAATCTGAAGTATAAAATTTATAGATCCTGTATAAAGTTGTACATATATATTGTGTAATGATTTCCTTTATTGCAGAGTTATGGAACAAAGAAAGAATGAGTTGCATTATGAACATATGATTCCTTGTCAAGTTACTCCAGACCTAAATAAAGAGACAACTGTAGCATTTCTTCTAAAAGAATTGGATATTCTCAGAACAAGCTATAAAAAGGTATAATACAGAAAGCCTGATCATTGTACAATAGCTTTCAGCTGTTGACCTAAATTTTCTTTGTGGCCCATCATTTTTCAGTTTTATTATGTACTAGAAATAATGTAGTACACAGTAGTTGTGTACTTTATGTTATCATATCTTGTCATCAATGTGAGTCAAGTCATTGGTTGTAAAAGTAATTTTTTATTTTTCTGCCTTGATAGTCAGTGATCTCATTTTGTTTTTCATAAATTTTGGGCACCTTATATAGTTACCTTAAAAAAAAAAGATTAAGTTTCTACCACAGAAAAACTTTCAGCCTTATAAAGAATAAGAAATATTATAGACAGTTTCTTTACTTTCTTAATTTTTTTCTTTTTTTATTAGTATATGTACCCTATATTTTACCCCAATAATATATGTAATTGGACATTATAATAGCAAGACCTGCTGATATTTTCATTTACTTTGGGTTATACTGTTGCATTTTATCCAATCCATTTGTCTTATCATGTTTTATTTTATTATTGACTCTTATTCTAGGTACATTCCTCTGAGCACAAAATATTGTTAATAAATAATGTTCCTTTTTTTAAAAAAAATTCTACATGCTTTTCTGATTTTTTTATATTTTCACTGTTTGACCTAACCAAACTGATGCATGATCTTAGGAATATTGATCACGTCTAAAGGAAAACAACACAAATGACAAAAGCCTGGGGAGGAATTAAAAATAAGAAACATGTGGAAGAATTCTGATATGAGAGCATGAGACATTTTCTGTACTTTGATTTATCAATCGCTACATGACAATTGTGAGTCTGGTACCAGTGCCAACTTAAAAGGAATATGACAAGGTAGCAGTTACAGAGGCAGATTTGTACCAGATATTATGATTATTATCTTAATTAATTTTGTTTCAAAATATTGGAAGTACTAAGAAGCTATAAAACTGAAACATCCATCTAAACCTTTTGCTTTAACAAAAAAAAGGCGAGATTGCTTTTACAGTAGTTATTTTTATAATAATGTACTTCTTAGTTTTATCTACATACAAATTAAGTATGTAATAGAATGTTTTTATAATTATGATTACAGGTAATCATTACTTTATAAAATATCTTTCAAGCTTAATTTTTTACCCTGGAGTTCATAAATTTAGATAATTGAATGTAATATTATATAAAGGTTTAAGAAACAACAAAATTTTACTTTGGGATTAATCATAAATCTAGAAGACATTTTAAAATGTTTTTATTAGTATATATAATTATATACAACAGTGGTATTCATTTTGAGAGGAAGACATTTTTAGATAAGAATTTATATTTTTAAATGTGTTTTAGCTTCAAGAAAAACTGGCTAAAGAGGATAAAGAACAGAGAAAATTAAAGCTTAAACTGGAACTCCAAGAGAAAGCAGCAGAAGCTAAAATTGCTGAAAAGGCAGCAGGTATAGTAGATGAGTGTTAGCATACAGCCTGAAGAATTCACATACACGGTTACTATATGATGTGTCTTGGTGAATACTAGCATACTGCCGTATTTGCCAAAGGTGGGAAAGCTCTGTTTTTTTTTTTTTTTTTTTGGCTGCTTAGAAAATAGGTGGCTTTAACATCCTGGTACTGGTATTAGTGAGAGCTTTACCTGTATTCATACTGATTTGGGCATTAAATGCATTGTTAACACCATGTCAATCCAATCACAAAAAGGTTGTTTGTTTTGTTGGAAGGGCCTGAACAAACAAGGGGAAATAATGATTACCAGTGCCTCTACCTTTCAACCAGCAGTTCAAATACCACTTATTTTTTTAGCTCGTTGAGAGGAAATATTTCCCCTTCGTATGAAGATAATCATATATTCATTACAAAGGAAATCTGCATTTGATTAAAAAAATCTGTTTTGTACAATTAAGAAGTTAAAATTTGATTATATAGATAATGATAAGAGATCATGTTTTCCCTGAGATTCAAGTGACAGGTTGCCACAGTTTAATGTTATAAATGACTGCCTTAAATATATTTTTGGAGTCTTGTCTTTATTCACAGGTCTTTTCAAGGGGAAAATTTTTTTTAACATATCTGTGATATGTTACAGATATAAGCAAATGATTCTGAAGTCTGTGATATTCATGTATGTGTGTCACTGTGGCTCTTTCCTTCATATTGTTTTCATGTGTTAAGAGAAATTTAATAAAATAGTACATGTTAGCATTCAGTGGCATTTTTACTAATTTAACATTTTTACATCAGTTGCAATGATTTTTGAAAATAACTTATTTTGTGATTAGACTGAGGTTATAAGTATGTTGTATAAGCCACCTGTAAAAGAATCTTGGTATCTAAGGTCAGATACATGATTAGTTAGTATAGCATGTCTTCAAATATTATTTTGGAAAATAGAACTAAACATCATGAAGATATAACCAAGATGACCATGAATAAGTACGCCAGCTGAACACCATCATTGCTTTTCTATTAATGTTAAACTGCTGTAATGTTTTTGTTTATTTATTATTGGGGAAAAGATGAGAGTAATATATTTTAAGGAAAATTAATAGTGTTAAAATGAATAATTCAAATTTAGAATAATTTAGGAATTTTCTGGGTTTTTATAATCAATTACACACATATACGTATATACATATTAACTGTTAGGATGGTATTGCATATAGAAAGTATGCTTGTTTGGAGGTATAGACATAAAAATTTAACTTTTCATATATCTTACAGAAGTAATTGGATAATTTTGGGACATTAAGACTTATTGAGATTCATGAGCATAGCATATATCTCCTAGGGTGCTCATTAAGAAGTTAAATCTATTGTATAATATGGCTAACCATGCCCTTTAAATATTTATTGATATATTTAAGGTTCCCCTGGATAGAACATTTGAAACATGCATGCATAACATGGAGAAAATTTGATTACCTTATAATTCTTATTAATTAAACAAAACAATCTGTTTCAAGAGATGTGTCCAAAAGAAAAATGTCAAAACACTGTCATGAAAGTGAGATCAAACAAAAATCCTTCAAAAAGTTTTTTAAACTATTAATTTTCAATTTGATTTTTGTTTTTTAATGTTTTACTTCTACCTTATTTAAGAAACATACTTTACTTGTAACATTAGAGAGGATTATTACTGTTATATCAAATTTTAATAATAGTGAATTGCTTAAAAATCCACTGTTTTGAAACTCTGAAAACTGTAATCCCTTAGTGAGCTCATTTCTATTCACAGTCTTTTAAAAATATTTTAAAGCCAGGAGCAGTGGCACATGCCTGTAGAACCAGTAGCTTAGGAGGTTGAGGCAGAAGGATAGAAAGTTCAAAGCCAGCCTCATCAACTTAGCAAGACCCTTAGCAACTTAGCAATACTCTGTCTCAAAATAAAAAATTAAAAAAAGAGCTGGGAATGTATAGATTTATTTATATAATATGACATATGTATCTTATATAAATGTATAAACTTTTTTATTGTAGTGATTTATACATATTTATTTTGATGAATTCATAAGTGCATTTAATGTAATTTTCTCCATTTCAATCTTTTTTTAAAAAATACATTTACTTTTATTTTTTTAAAGAGAGAGAGAGAGAGAATTTTAATATTTATTTTTTTTAGTTATCGGCGGACACAACATCTTTGTTTGTATGTGGTGCTGAGGATTGAACCCGGGCCGCACGCATGCCAGGCAAGCGCGCTACCGCTTGAGCCACATCCCCAGCCCATCCATTTCAATCTTTAGGACTATCCCCTTCCCTCTCTTCCTTCTTCTCCCTCTTATCTTCCTCTACCCCAGTGATCTTAAGTACACTTATTTTCTATCGGACCAGTACCAAGTGCACTCAAAAAGCAAAACATAACAGAAACAACCATGTTAGTATTTTAAGAGAAGAGGAATAGTATGGAATTATGATTACATGTTATAAGTTCTGTTTCCTATAACAAATAGTCCACATAAGTATAAATGTTTTTTCTATCACTACTTTTTTATATTCAAAATAAAAAGTGTATTTGGTAATGTATATTATGAATATACACAATGTCTAAGTAATGTACTTAAGCAAATAAGTTTAAAAACATCAAACTATTCCACAATAAAAGAATTGTAAAAACGTCTGAGCCAAATATTAAAAATAGCAAACAAAAATGTATGACACTAGAGAATTTTTTTAAAGGTTAAAATATTATGGAAAAAGCAGTCATTTCCTTTGAGTATATAAAATAAACATATACACAAGTATGTTCACACAGCTTTAGTTATGATTGCAAGAGAATCAAAAACAATCTAACAATAAAGAAATTGTTAGATTATAGCACATTTATGCTGGGAGACTTTCCAAAGAATATTTGATGATATGCAAAAAAGTCTTCATAACTCAATGTTAAATGAAAGCTCTAAGGGAAAAACTATATAAATATAATTTTGTTAAAAGAAACAATATTCATACGTGTCTTATGTAGAATGAGAGAGAAGTTTGGGTGTTATTTAAATGGAGCTATTGGTTCAGTGAATGGTTTCTGTCTTTTTCAGGCTTTGTACAATGAACATGTATTAGATTTAGTTTAGTTTTAGAAAAAGTCAATATTACTTTTAAAAGATGTGATTTAAAAAAATACTTGCATTTGAATGTTAAAAAAAAAATCCTATGATAGGTTTGAGACATAATGACCATATAAACCAAAGTTTTATAGAAACCATATGATATCTATGATCCGGTCTTGCCATTTTCCTCATGCAGGTTTTCTGGTCTTTGAGATTTGCTCCGTATTTATCTTTATATCTGTATGTGTATCATGTAACTTATGTATACATTAATCTTTTCTTCCCAACTGGCTGTATAATTTATAAGACTAAGAATCTGGTACAATTAAACCACATAAAAGAAAATGTGTCCAGTTCTCCTTAGGCAGTTTGATGTAACTGGGAGACCAGAAGCCTTGGATTAGTCCTAGGTTAAAATCAGTTTTAACAGTTAATATTGATTGTATGCCTTTGGGTGGGTTTCTTAACCTCTCTTGACTTTTTCCCATGGTAAAAAAATAATAATAACTTACAGGTTATTTTAAGGATTAAAGACAATGGTAAAAGCACCTGTTTTATAACTAGTACTCAATATGTTATAGCTTTATTTAATATTGTATAAAATTATTGTATTTTCATAAATTCTTGAACTTTTGATAATGTCATCATTGTCAAAATTTATGAGATATTTTATTCTATTTAGTTTTTATATGAAAAACTATATATATATGGAATACACACACAGAGCACTAATACATTTTACTAATATGTGAATCCAGAATAAAAGAATGGCATACAAAGGATTTGGGCTTGTATCCCTATGATAAACCATCATGAAATAATGTTCTTAGTTTCAAATCTTTTGCTTTGTTTTCCTTTGGTTTTTTACAGAGTGTGAGCAGTGCCATTCTATGTGATTTTATGTGTGCTTGAAACTCAGTTGTATCCTCTATCTTGGTTAAATCTCAGATGGTTGACCCTTTTATCTTCCCTTCCTTTTTGTACATTACTATTATCATCATCATTACCATTGACACTGATTATTATATACTTCAGTATTTTATAAGAATTATGCTTAACTTCTTTACCAGTTGAATAAGAAAGTTTATCTAGAGCCCCTTATGTACAAGGCACTGTGTTAACCAATGGACATACATCAACAAATAAGACAGATTTCAATCATTTCTTTTTCTTTTTTTTTCCATCACTTCACAATCATATACCATACATGTGTGGGTAGATAGTGGTTAAATTCTCAGACTTTGGATTTAGACCTTTGTTATAATCTTTTTACCACTTATCATGTGTAATTACAGCTTCACTAAGCCTTGGTTAAAACCTACTACAGGTGGCTATGCCATTTAAGTGAGATAATATTTATGAAGTGCTTAACCCATAGAAGTTACTCAGTAAATTATAGCTGTGGTGATGACAACTTTGTCACCATCATTTTTCTTCAGACTTCTTCATTTAAAGGGGATATAGTCAAAGTGTTTCTCATAGTTCTGGAGTTATATAAGAAACTGTTCCATACTAGTTCTATACACATATAACTACCCCATTGTTATTTATATATGGTTTTGTTTTACAAAGAATAAATTTCTGTTTCTTTTTAAAAGTATATTGATTATCTCAATAAAATGAACCTCAGTATTTTTCTAGGGATAATGAATACCCACTCTTTATTTTCTGTGGTGCTAGGGATCAAAACTCAGGGCCTCAGGCATGCTAAGCAAGCTCTCAACCACTGGGCTACATCCCCCGCTCTTTTATTATTTATTTTGAAACACAGTCTCTAAGTTGTTTAGGCCAGTTTCAAACTTACTATCCTTCTGTCTCTGCTTCCTGAAGTAGCTAGGAATATAGCTGTGTGTCATCTCCCATGTGCCAGTTTTTCATTTTGTCTAATTTTTCATTTT